TTTGTGTTGTTGTTATTGTGCATGAAAGTGAATTAATAATATAGATGCAAATGTTCGTTTAGTGAGAAAAGCGGTTTGAATTATTTAAAGTTACTTTGGCTCATTTTGATTTGTTTGGTGAATATTTGTAACAAGACTTAAAAATAAAGATGAGTGATTGTTGAAAAAAAGGAAACATACATCTCTTGAACAAGTTACTTTTGCCTTATAAATAACTTGAACTGAACACTGAACAGAAATGACGGGTTTACACAAGTTACATTTATATTCATGTTCATTAAAAACGTCTTGTTTAATGCAGGAAACATGTCCGAGTTCTCTGTTTATTGATCACGTGACAATTCGTCAGTGTGAACGACACGAGTTCCACAGAAAGATCAATTCTAACGTGAGTTAATACACGAGGTTGATGAAACTGTTCAGTGGCTTCAGATACTGAGGAGAATCCACTCGACTGAGAACCAGCAGCAGAATAATAACCAAATACAACTGTAATTATACACAAACGTTGATCCACAGTTTTCCTGCTGTAGTAACAAAGTATTTATTTGGTGCCGGAGAGCAAAACCATGAACTTAAATGATGTAACAAGAGTTTAGCAGCTGAGCTGTAGTTGTTGGAGCTGCACAGGCTGTTATTCATGAAGCAGCTTCATGAGTTTATGACGTCATACGTGTTTGTCTCCTTGATGACACGTGCACAGCGACTGGACCACGTGGAGGAGGCGTGACCTCCTTTAGATACAAGATCACCTCACGAGACAACTTCAGAGTTCCTTCACGTTTCTTTTTATTTTCCTAAAGAGGGTCGTCCTCTTTAAAATGACTAAACAAAACATTTGATCACTTTTTAAAAGTCGAGAACCAACAGAAAGACGACCGATGACAAAGAAAAACACACAATAAATACTTTGAAGCATCCGAGCAAAGAGAAGATTCCTGTTTGCGATCTCATGAGAAGCAGGAAGACGGTCGGTACCAACACGTCAGGCGGTGTAACCCGGGTACATGAGGCTGTCAGCACGTGTGCTGCACCACCCAGAAGGAAGGAGCCCCTTCACGGTAACACGCTCCACCTGCAGAGTGCACGCCTACGTCATGACCCAGAGACTCTGAACGCCACAAAACGGGTCGTTCAGGTTTTTCATCCACATGTAGTTTTTCTCGTGTTGTTTCTGTGTGGAGAACAGAAGTAAGTAAAAGGTCAAATTCATTTATAAAGTGCTTTCCACAGACCGAGATCACAAAGTGCTGCAGGGCAGGAATTTAACACAAAGAGGTGTAACACAATATGGCCTCAAAAGCTCGATCACCAGGGGTCTTGAGGGGCACGAGGAAGGGTGGAGGACATCGCGGAGAATCTGGAGTTTCGGCTGCAAGGTGAAGCGTGAAGCTTTGGATGAGCGCTGTGACGTCCGTCACGCGGCCCAGCTGCTCACGTCTCCCCGGTGGACGACGAGCGACTTCAAGCTTACGGAGGAGCTGGCAGCAATGCGGCCAATGAAAGGAACCACGACGGGGAGGGATCTGTTCACCGAGGCAAACGCATGCAGGGACAAACCGGGACTCCGATGGGACAGACTGGCAGGGGTCACCACGGATGGATGTCTGAATCTGACTGGGAAGAATGTTGCGCTTTTGGAAAGAATGCAAGATAAAGCGAGTGAACTCACCGCAGAGCAGAAATTGGTGTTCATACATTGTGTTATTCATCAGCAAGCGTTGTGTAAGTCAGCGCTTAAACTCGGGCATGTGGTTGATGTTGTTACTACAGTTGATTTCATGGGAGCGCGAGCATTGAATCACAGGCATTTTTTTTCACTATTGGAGGAGCGAGAGAGCGAACATGCTGATGTCCGGTACCACACAGCTGTCACATGGCTCAGTCTGGGCAAAGTGCTGAAAAGGTTCTGAGTTCTGAAATCAGAGGTAAAAGAGTTTTGTGAGATGAAAGACAAAACCACCCCAGAGCTGTCTGATAAGGACCGGATGGCAGATTGAACGTTTGCTGTTGCTGTGACTGCAGTGATGAATGAACTGAACACACAGCTGCAGGCCGAGGGCCTCTTTGCTCATGAAATGCACATCCATGTGAAAGCCTTCGTGACAAAGTTGCAATTCATTTCAAGGCAACTGGGCAGCAACAATGTCAAACACGTGAGAACCCTGAAAGAAGTCAAACCATCATCTGATCACCGGTACTCATCCATGTTAGGAGCACCGCGTGATGAATTTAAGGCGTTTTCAAGATTTCAAAAAGGTTGAGGATGAAATGCAGCTGGTTTCCTCTCCCTTTACCTGCAGTGTTGATAGTGCACCCACTAATGTTCAGCTTGAACTCACTGACCTGCAGGCTGATTCACTACTGAAAGAGCACTTTAAGTCAGCATCACTGCCAGAGTTCTACTCTGCTCTCAAGGAGGAGAACTTTCCAAACATGAGGAGACGTGCTCAGAAGATGTTGGTTCTCTGTGGATCCACCTACATATGTGAACAGACATTCTCAGTCATGAAGTTTACCAAATCCAGGTACAGATCCTCTCTCACTGATGAACATCTGTCAGCTGTGCTTCGCATCTCCACCTCTGACATTCAACCTGACTTTGATGGACTTGTTGCAGCTCCACAGAGACTGGATTTCTCACACTGAATGAGAAAAGAAGAACTGAAGAAGACTAAAATGTGGGAATATAACAAGTGAAATGGGACACTTGATGTGTTTCTTTTCTTTTTTTGCACAGTTCTGAAAATGTTTTAATACAGGCATGTAAAGTCAAAAAGGCTACGAAACTGGGACTGATGATGTGGTGTCTTTAGAAAGCTAAGAAAATCCTTGTTTCAATAGTATATGAAACTCAAAATGCCCTTTGGTATTAATGTAACTGAAAATGAGTCAAATGTTTCACATTTTGAAAATTATATTTGAATAAATTATACTTTTGAAAGCTAACCTCACCTTTGAATTGCCAAATAATAACATACACTCTTACCAGCGGTCAAAACAATGCCATTTACTGCTTTTAATATAGAAAAAAATGTATATTATGCATAATTGAGTTTGGCATTTTGGCCTGGCCCCCCAAAATATTTTCAGTTTCTCATTTGGCCCCCTGGGAAAAATAATTGCCCCCCCCTGCTCTACCAGGTCAAAAAACCGACCCAACATTACATGCTTCATGTTTTTTTTTATAAAACATTAATAAAGTAATTATCACTACTTTAATTCACTGACACATTCGTATTCGTCTGAAGATTAATTCCCTCGTGTCTCAAACCTTGGTAACGTCCTTTCCTGCTTTATCACCTGACAGTGACGCCTGTGTGGTTTCACCTCTGTTACCTGGTGCTCGGCGCCCCTAGCGGCAACCACACCATTAAACCAGAATAACACTGGATTAAAACGAAACACACCAATGAAATGCCTTCATCGACCATCAAGAAACAACAGTGCTGCATTGCATGTGCTTGCACATGATGATTGGCATGTCCCAGAGTCAAAGTGATTATCATCAAGTTAAACTGATGTTCCAGCAGGAAGAACTTACTGGTTTTGGTCAGACATGCAACGAATTAAATATAAACAGGCAGAGCAGGACCAGCCTGAGTACATGAGCTATAATCATACACACGACGAGTCACTTTGTACTCTCAGAGGTCCTGTTTTTACATTATAGACAGGTTAGAAGCATGTGTCAAAGGCCATCTGCTGTTGTGAAATCACCAGAAAGTACACGTATGCAAATGATTGAAATAAACCAGCTGAACACAGATAATAATACAATTATAAATAGATAATAATCATATAGGTAATAATAAATGAAACGGATAAAAAACAGCAGCCTGTAATATGTTTCAAGTGTTTGCATGAATGAAATAGAGACGTTAAAATGAACACGTGAATAATATTTGCATGTTGTTTTTTCATTATATTCTGTTGGACAGGCGGCCTAATCAAATATTGAATTTGAATTTGAACATTTGGAAGAGAACCAGTTCATCAAGGCCTCCATACACATTTGAACACATCTAATAAGTTAACCAGCCAACACATTGATTACCCTCACGGCCTTGAACACCTTTGTAGGCTTTACCTCAGCGGGGCATCACTCCCGCGGTGCACAAGTAAGAAGAAGTGCGCGCGGTCCTCCGAAAAAAACCCCACAAGCCCCGCCTCCCTCACCTGTGCGCCCGAGATGCCGCATCACACCTGTCTGACCCGCGAGGACGCGCCGCGACTCTCAGGTGAGCTCCGTCCGCCTCACGCGCACCTTGCTTACTTAAATCCTCGGATTCTCGGATGGATTTCTATCTTTGATATCAACGCTAATCCGCCACGCGGTGCGACTTTATACCTTTAGACCGCTTCCTTTTGTTTTTTTAACACCGTGATGACGTTTCTTCACGTTTCTGAAGGATTCAGAATCACGAGTAAGATCATTTTTAAAGTTCATTTACGACTACATTCGATTCATAGTGCGTCTGTAAGCAGAAAGTCTCATAAGATCTGTGGTTTTCAGTGTTGACAAACAAAAATAAAACGATTGTGAAAGAAAAGAAGAGGCGGAAACATCGAGATGAGTCACAAGATGATGGCGCTGCACACTGTGTGCGGATGAAATTAAGGGGTTAGTTTTCATTACCTCACAATGTTTCAATCACCAAATGCTTTGAGACAAAGTCACTTCCTTTTTTAATCAACACTTTAATCCATTAAATATAAATGAATGCGTGTCATTTAAAGATATTAAGACGCTCATTTAGTAATGGAACGAAGACTTGAGGCCATCAAGTCTTGCTATTCAGAAAAAAATAATTTATTATCGCCCAAATTAATGTAAATCAACATGTTTTATTTGTAGGGTGCCAAACGTCAGTTTACAACATGATGCCTTTCCAGATCAAAATCGGTGCATTAACTTAAATGGAAAATTGTGCATATTGACCGTGTGGTATTGATCCAGTATTTGGACACTTGCTGCATCTTTTTTTATGTTTTTTCATATTTTGAGAGGCTTCACTTTTCTTTAGAAACCTGACAGAAGAATCAAAATGTCAAACGACCACCAACAGGGCGAACCTGCCCCCCGGTGAGTTTGGTACATATTGCTGATGTGGCATAAACTGCGGTGTTAATCTAAAGTTGACATGAAGGTGTCTGTGTTCTCCACAGCAGACGCTTGGTGCCCTGCATCATCATCTTTGTGCTCGGTGTGGGATCTCTGCTGCCATGGAACTTCTTCATCATCGCGTCTCAGGTTTCCCTTCTTTTTATTTAAAATGAATATTAAGAAATGTGTAAAGCACAAACTCTTCACGTCGCTTCACTCGTAACATCGGAGCTTCTCGTGTCGCACTGCGGCTCTTCGTTGCTCTCGATGTTCCCAGATAGAACGACGGAACACACGGCCGGACATTTAGGATGTAGAAACCTACGCTCAATACCACGAACATTGGTCCCAGACATTCATTTTCTTAACAAAGATGTCGTTTGTTTCTCCATTTCTGGAAGTATTTCCAACGGCGCCTGGCAGCAGAACCAAGCACCACGTCGGGGGGCGGAGGCTACAGCTATGAGCTCTGGATGACCCTGGCTGCCAATCTGCCCCTGGTGGTCTCCAGCCTGCTCAACTGCCTCTGCACCAGGTGAGTTCCTGACACGGCGGCGTCGGTTCTGACGCGTCCGACCGTCACGTGACGCGTTTCCTCTCCCCGACTCTGCGCAGCGGTTGTGGGCGTGGCCTTCCAGCGGCTCTGCGCAGGTGTTGTGGGCGTGGCCTTCCAGCGGCTCCGTGTGGGAGTTGTGATCTTAAACACTGCCCGCTCGTGGTCTTCACCATGGTCTTGATCATCGGGTTATTTGCTGCCACGGCCGTCCTGGTGGATGTCGACATGGAGCCGCGCATCTTCTTCTACGTCACCATGGCGACCATCGTGGTCATCAACAGTGGGTGCATGCACACGAGCACACACACATGCACACACACACACACACACACACACACACACACACACACACACACACACATACATACGGTGGTCGATATCCCATGAAACCCCTCTGATGTTTCAAGTTCCTTGATATGTGTGTGTGTGTCAGGAATCAGGAATCAGGAAACATTTATTGCCAAAATATGTCAAACATACAAGGAATTTGTCTTGGCGGTTGGTGCGTGAGAGTAGACAGTGTGACAATAGACAACAAGACAGCGGTGCACAAGTAATAAAATAAAATGAAATGCAATGGGTTAGTGGAATACGGCTATGGGTCAGTATAAAACAAGAGAATAAAGTTAGTTAAAAATTAAAATATTAAAAAAGTAAAAAATATTAAGCATAAAGTGCACTAGCGAACAAGTGACAGTGATGAGTGACGACAAAGTGAACAATGACAGTTAGAGTGACATGTGCAGTGTGAAGGGGAGTGACCGGTGTGTTATAGTCAGGCAGTGGTGGACCGGCTCTGTTGATGAGCCCGACTGCCGACGGGAAGAAACTGTTGGTGTGGCGGGAGGTCGTAGTCCTGATGGACCTCAGCCTCCTGCCAGATGGAAGGGGCACAAACAGGGTGAGAGGGGTCGGTCACCATCTTTCTAGCTCGCTTCAGAGACCTGGAAGAGAACAAGTCCTGCAGGGACGGCAGATTACAGCCGATCACCCTCTCCGCAGAGCGGATGACGCGCTGCAGCCTGCTCTTGTCCTTGGCTGTGGCTGCAGCGCACCAGACGGTGATGGAGGAGCAGAGGATGGACTCCATGATGGCTGTGTGTGTGTGTGTGTGTGTGTGTGTGTGTGTGTGTGTGTATGTGTGTGCAGTGTCCAACGGCGTGCTGGTGGGGAGTCTGTTCGGTGTGGTCAGTCTGCTCTTCCAACAGCACTTGCGTTTTTCATGATCGGTCAGGGGGCGTCCGGGCTCATCGCTGCACTCGTGATGCTCGTCTCCATCTTAAGTGAGCAAAAGGACAAATTCTTTGTTATTATTTTTGAACTGGTGTTATTTTATAATGAAATTCTTCGTGGCCTTTTTAGTTTCAGATCCCAAACTGTGACATAATTTTATTGAGTTGGTGAAGCAATAACTGCGAGAGTTATACAAAGAAGAATGAATCACATTTCCTGTATTTGGTAAAATGAAGCTCTTTTGCTGTGCAGGTGGAGTACCTGAGCAGGCGTACTTCATCATCCCGTGTGTCGTCGCCGCGGTAACGTTGGCGTGTTACCTGTGTCTGGGGATGTCACCAAGGACACACACACACGGCGACGGAGTCGACTCTCCTCAGCAGGACTCACAGGAGCCCCCCGGCAGCACAGGCAGGCTCCTCTCACCCTGCAGCCACTCCTGTTATTTTAAGTCCTTTATCGTCGCATTCCAGCTGATACGAGCTCAGAAGCGGCTCGTCATCAATCGGCGATCAGCGTCAAAAGCAACACGACCACAGCCGAGAAACCTCACTGTGGCAGTGAAAGTCCTCACACCGGCTCTCTGCACAAAAAACACCTTACGTTACTTAAATAATTCAATTATCTGCTTTTATTTTGAGAGGAAAATACTGTACTTTTCACTGCAACACACTTATTTAAATTACTTTGTAGACTTTGCAGATTGAGAATAAAGATATGAAACAATCGACACATAAATAGCTCTGACTGGGGGATCCCAAGGCGTTCCCAGGCCAGTGCAGAGATATAATTGCTCCACCTAGTCCTGGGTCTTCCCCGGGGCCTCTTCCCAGCTGGCCGTGCCTGAAACACCTCCCTAGGGAGGCGCCCAGGGGGCATCCTCACCAGATGCCCAAACTACCTCAACTGGCTCCTTTCGCCTCCTCGCGAATGGCTGAGCTTCTCACCCTATCCCTAAGGGAGACGCCAGCCACTCTCCTGAGGAAACCCATTTCGGCTGCTTGTACCCGTGACCTAGTTCTTTCGGTCATGACCCATCCTTCATGACCATAGGTGAGGGTAGGAACGAAGATTGACCGGTAGATCGAGAGCTTTGCCTTCCGTCTCAGCTCTCTTTTCGTCACAACGGTGCGGTAAAGCGAGTGGAATACCGCCCCCGCTGCTCCGATTCTCCGGCCAAACTCACACTCCATTTTCCCCTCACTCGTGAACAAGACCCAGAGGTACTTGAACTCCTTCACTTGGGGTAAGGACACATTCCCTACCTGGAGTAGGCAATCCATCGGTTTCCTGCTGAGAACCATGGCCTCAGATTTAGAGGTGCTAATCCTCATCCCGACCGCTTCACACTCGACTGCGAAACGCTCCAGTGAGAGTTGGAGGTCATAGACGGAAGATGCCATCGGGACAACATCATCTGCAAAAAGCAGCGATGAGATCCGCAGCCCCCCGAACTGTAGACCCTCCTCTCCCCGACTACTCCTCGAAATCCTGTCCATGAAAACCACAAACAAGATTGGTGACAAGGCGCAGCCCTGGCGAAGGCCAACCCCCACCTGAAACGCCTTTGACTTACTGCCGAGCACCCGAACACAGCTCCCGCTTTGGGCGTACAAGGATTGGATGGCCCCAAGCAAGGACCCCCTCACTACGTACTCCCGCAGCACCTCCCACAGTATCTCTCGGGGGACCCGGTCATACACCTTTTCCAAGTCCACAAAACACATGTAGACTGGATAAGCATACTCCCAAGCCCCCTCTATGATCCTGGAAAGAGTGAAGAGCTGGTCCGTTGTTCCACGACCAGGACGAAAAACGCATTGTTCCTCTTCAATCCTTGGTTCGACTATCGGCCGAACCCTCCTTTCCAGCACCTTAGAGTAGACTTTACCCGGGAGGCTGAGTAGTGTGATACCCCTGTAATTGGCACACACTCTCTGGTCCCCCTTTTTGAAGAGGGGTACCACCACCCCGATCTGCCACTCTTTTGGCACTGTCCCAGACTTCCATGCAATGTTGAAGAGGCGTGTCATCCAAGACAACCCCCCAACACCCATTGCTTTTAGCATCTCTGGACGGATCTCATCAATCCCCGGGGATCCCCTAACCCTAACCCTAGTTGGGTTCAGGAGTTCCTCAAAGTGTTCCTTCCACCGCCCGATAACCTCCTCAGGTGCGGTCAACAGGGTCTCATCCTTACTGTACACAGCTTGGATGGTTCCCCGTTTCCCCCTCCTGAGGTGCCAGGTTCATAGGGACACACAAACCTCTCCACCACGATAAGGTGACGGTTCCCAGAGAGGCACATAAATAGTGATTTATTATATTTATTCATTACCAGCTGCGACACGAACGCATCAACAATCACATTTAAATAACACAAGACGTATTACTCTTAAATGATGAGACGTCTCTGGTATTTATTTGACTGAAGCAGAATATCCGAGTCCTTCTTCCGCCGCTGGCTGCAGCTGATTGGATGATGCCGTTATTAACTTACATGCCGGTTCCTTTCTCTTTAAAGAAATGACGGCGTTGAGCAACAGCAGCGAAGCCCCCGAGGACCAGAGGAGGGACGAGAATCAGGAGCGATGCTCCGGCTGGCGTGTCTTCAAGGAGGTGAAGGATCAAACTGAGGACACTGATGTTTGATTCACAGCAAATCACAATAAAAAAAATATCATATATGAAATATTCAGTTCGCAATGATATAAAACAGAAAAAACAGCAATTTAAGAAGCTGGAATCAGGTTTGATTAAAGATTACACAACATAACTTCTAACTTTGAAAGCTGCACACGTCTCTCAGATTCACCATTCAACTTTAATTTGGGGTTTCTCAGTAGTTTTAATGCGTGTTTAAGCAATAATTATGAATGGAAACTGTTTTTTTTAACCTTTTGGTCCCTTTCCAGGCGGTTTCCGTGGCGTTCCTGTGTTTTAGCATCGGTTACGGCTTCTTTTTGAATGTTAAGTCGCCGTGTGTCCCTCAGATCAGGTGGATGGCTGCGTACGTGATGGCCGTGTTCATCGTCACCCTGTCGGTGTTTCCTGTGATCACGAGCAGAGTTCAGACCGTCTCCAAGGACAACGCCGCCTGGGGTAGGCCGCCGTAACCAAGGGTTACGGCGTTGCGGACAGCCTGCAGGGCTCTTGTTTCAGGTCTGAGCTTCATGGTCATCGGTGTGTTTTAGCCTCACGCCACCTGCTCTCCGTCCCTCGCAGACAAAGTGTTCACCTGCGTTTGCTGCCTCATCGTTTTCAACGCCATGGACCTCTTGGGCCGCATCGCCACCATTTTCGTCCAATGGGTGAGCAGCGCCGGCCACTTTCACCTTTAACCTTTTGAACGCAGCCCCTAAATGTCGGCGGTGTGCGCGCAGCCCTCGAAGGAGAGCCGTTGGCTTCCCATCGCCGTGGCGTCTCGCGGGCTCTTCGTCCCTCTGCTCATCATGTGCAACGTGCAGAACTTCAGATCTCCTGCCGTCTTCCGCTGCGACGGTTTCTTCGCCTTCATCATGGCGCTGTTCGCCGTCTCCAACGGGTACCTGGCGAGCCTCTGCGTGGCCTACGCTCCACGGTGAGTCTGCAACAGGAAGCGGTTGTACTTCACGGTGCAGCAGGACGGGGTTCTTCTGCTCAGACTCCTCGGAAGTCCAAGTTTGCTTGAAAACCAACCAACCCGACCGACGCAGCAGGAGACCCGTGGCTTTAACGTGACCATGAACCGACCCTGTTCACGCGGACGCACGTGGTGACTGCGCTTTGTGTCCGTCAGGTTGGTGCGGGGTGCAGACTGCGAGGCGGCCGGCCTGGTGATGAGCCTCTTCATGGTCCTGGGCCTGTCGCTGGGAGCGTTTCTCTCCTTCTGGTACATGAGATTTCTCAGCTGTGATCTCAGCAGCTCCCATTGATTCCAGGTTCGCGTCCACATTGCTCCTCTCAACCTCCGCAAACGTGTAGCACGATGGCCGCGCGCGTGACGAAGACGCGACGCCCTCGTTTCCAAACTGATCCGTTTCCAGAGCGCCGAAGAGGCTCGGCGTGAACGTAGCAGAACACGTGCGTTTTGAAGGGGAAACGCTGTGTGTGGATGTCGCCTCAGAATAGTGATCACTGGTGGGAACTGTTTGTAATCTACAGAATTATAAAGCTCAAGCTTCTTTTTAACTGTTTTAATAAGGGATCGTTTAATTGGACTTTTTGGTGGTTTCGCTGTGCAATGGTGTTGTCTTTTTGTGTCCTTTTTAAAAAGCAAAATAAGTTTCTCTGGCTCTCATAATAAAGTAAACAAATTGTGTATTTGTACATCGGACGACGCGGCTGTGACCAAAAAAAGAGTATATATATATAATATATATATATTATAAATATATTATAAATACATATTACAAAGTGTCAGTATTTGTGTTTTTGAAAGTAAGGGACATGAAGCACTTTGTGGAGAGAAAATAAGAATAGAAAACACCAGGACACACACGGATCACTCTGTCAAGCTCGACATGTTAAGTTCACATCGCTACCCAGCTGCGATGGACACGGAGTCGCGGTGAGGACACAACGAGGACGTGGATGAAAACAGGCACATTTGATCCAAAATAATTGATTGTGTTGGTTCCCTGCTGAATCCTTAATGATTGAGATTGTTGGTGTAAGTTATTGGGTCTAATTTGATTTACTTCCTATTTACCAGATGTTCTGCTATGGTGAAAATGTTGTGGTCTGTGTCTTAGGAATTGAGTTTTATTATTTATAATTTCATTTATTTGGAATTGATACATTCTTAATTTGCTTTGGGTTTCCAATGTTGGGTCAGTTGCTTTGACGATTTCAAGTCGATTGAATCGTTGTTCAGCTTCTTCTTCAGGATTCAGGAACGTTTATTGCCATAATATGTGAGACATGAAAGGAATCTGACATGTGGGTCTGTGCATAACATCAGACAGTAAGACAACGGGACAATGGACAACAAGACAAATGACAAAGTGCAAGAAAAATGCCATGTTCAATTTACAATTTAACTCTACAGTATGAAATAAAGGGCAGGGATCTTCAACTAAAATGTCAAGAGGTCCAGTTAGAGAAAGGTTCTAGAAGCAAAGGTCAGGAAGATCATAATGTGACTACTCAGTGTGATTAAATAAAGGAATAGAGTTGTGTCAACATTTGCATGTAATGAATACATGACTAACAAATGAATCATGTATGATTCTAAAACGCTTGACAATATTTATTATCACGTATTAAAGAACTGAACATATATGTGTGACTGCAAATATAAATAATGTTCTCTCAATTAACTAAATAAAAGTAGGGCTGCATTTCAAAAAATAAAATGAAATATTCTCCATGTTCAAATAAAGTGCTTCAATTCATTAAAAAATAAAATAACTGGAAGAAAAGCTTGAATTTGCTTCACATTAGGACTTGACAGTCTCAGCAAATTAGAAATAATGAATCTACAAACATCTGAACACTTTTTAGCAATTGAACAGTTTAATAGAATATAGATATTCACTCTCCCACTTTTTTGGTAAGTGGGATAATTAAGATCTATTTTTCCTGCCAGGATGTTAAACCTGGTCTTAATGCATCAGGGCCGTTCTCCTCCTCACGTGGAGGAGCTCGTTGCGCCTCATGATGACGTTTCAAAGTGTTCTGAGCGTATGAGACACTGGTTTAGTGCTGCAGTGGGAAACATGAACAGAAACCAGTCCGTCCATTATGGATTAAATGCTCTTCTTTCAGTGACCATTTGTTCCTCATTTTTCTCACCCGTCCCTTTCTCTCGCTTTCTCTGTCTCACTCGTCTTTATCTAAAATTTCGCTATCTTTCTTTTCTTCCAACGGTCTTTTTATTTGTCATTTGTCGCTCCCCCTCTCGCCTGTCCGCAGCACTGAGACGTTATCGTCCGGCCTGGAATACAACGACTCGATTGGTCGAGTAGTATCACGTGGGATGGTTTAACTTGAATGCAATTGGTCTGTTCTTTAAGTCACTACCGTAAAGACGACGAAAGCTGCGCAGTCAAAAAGTGCGCCGTCACGTTTAAATCACAGTCTTTTTCTAGCTTTTGGTCCGGCTCCGGTTGTGACAGCTTCTGGGTCCGGGTCCGGACCGCGGTCCTCTGGGTTAGGGGGAAATAGAATAGAAATAATGAATAACGATAAACAGGAAATTAAAGTTAGTTAAAAATGAAGTGCACTGCCAAGGATAACCATACACGACTGTGTTGTGAGTGACAAGTGACAAGTGCACGTGGAATGTGAAGGGAGTGACCGCAGGAAAATGTCACAGTCAGTCAGTCACTGTGTTATTCTTCCTTTAAAAGTTAAACCTTGGTGTAAGTTGTTCGAACAGCGGACTTTGTCTCTCTCTGCATACTGTTGATGACTGAATCCTCCAGCAGTCAGCATGAATCAGAGGAGGAAACAAACCTCACCTGCTGATGACGCTCCAGTAGGAGGCGGGGCTACACGGAGGGGCGGAGCTTCAACGTCACTCTCCGGAGATGAAGTTCGTTGGTCAGAGAGGCAGACGCGCTGCAGTGAAGACAAGTCTCCGTGTTTCTCTGAGAGAAAAGTCAAAGTGACGTCATCAGGTGTTCCTCAGCAACACAGCAGAGTCTCTTCAGAACACTGGTGAGTACAGCTAGTCACATTTACACCTTCAACAAGCAGGAAGAACACACAACTTGTACTTTACTCAGGCAGGAAGTTCCTCTCTGTTCACTTCCTACTTGATAGAAAGTTAACAATAAAACCACGTGTGTTCATCCACAGTCCCACGATACAGTAACTCAGTCTAACAGCTTCAAACTGTCCAGGACTTCAGTCACTTGGAGCTGAATCTCTGTGCTTTAAACTTTAGTGTCTCTCTGTTTCCTGATCCCTTCCTCTGTTTCCTGTTGGTGCGTCACGTTAAACGTGTTCCACAGTGAACCTGCTGGAGGCTTTTAGTGTGAGTCTTCTAAATGAGACGCTACGTGTTTGTCACCAAGTAAGCAGAGCGTTGTTAGCGTGCTGCTCTTTATTTACAGCATGTGGACACATTCTGGACTGGTTTCAAAATAAAACTATTCATAAAAACTATTTTAAATAAAACGTTGTACTTCTCTTCCACAACATGTGTAGACATGGCTTCTGCAAACTATGGTCCATCTGAAGATCGGTTCCTGTGCTCCATCTGTCTGGATGTGTTCACTGATCCAGTCTCCACACCATGTGGACACAACTTCTGCATAAACTGCATCAATGAACACTGGAACACCAGCGACCAGAACCTGTGTCCAACGTGTAAGAAGGACTTCATCACCAGACCTGATCTGAGGGTCAACACCATGTTCTCTGAGATGGTTGTTCAGTTCAGACAGTCTGCTCAGCAGAAAGCCAGCAGCAGCAGCTCAGAGCAACAAGAGTCCAAACCAGGAGAAGTTCCCTGTGACGTCTGCACTGGAACCAAAGTGAAGGCCCTCAAGTCCTGCCTGGTGTGTCTGGCCTCCTACTGTGAGACTCACCTGGAGCCTCATCTGACTATGTCAGGTCTGAAGAGACATCAGCTGATGGACCCTGTGGAGAACCTGGAAGGCAGGATGTGTACGAAGCACGATAAACCTCTGGAGCTGTTCTGTAAGAGCGACCAGACGTGTGTCTGCGCGCTCTGCAGTGTTTTAGACCACAAGAACCATGATGTTGTTCCTCTGGAAGAAGAATATGAAGAAAAGAAGGTCGAGCTGAAGAAGACAGAGGCTGAAATCCAGCAGATGATCCAGAAGAGAAGAGTGAAGATTCAGGAGATCAAACACTCGGTTGACCTCAGTGAGGAGGATGCAGGCAGAGAGAAAGCAGAAGGTGTTCAGGTCTTCACTGATCTGATGGAGTCTGTTGAAAGAGGCTTGAAGGAGCTCCTCAAAACAATAGAAGAGAAGCAGGAAGCCACAAAGAAACAGGCTGAAGCTTTCATCAGAGAGCTGGAAGAGGAAATCTCTGAGCTGATGAAGAGGAGCGCTGAGGTGGAGCAGCTCTATCTCTCTGAAGACCACCTCCATCTTCTCCAGTCCTCAAACATCCATCAGCCACCACCCACCAAGGACTGGACAGAGGTCAGTGTTTGTCCTTCATGTGAGGGGACTGTGGTGAGAGCTGTGTCTCAGCTGGAGGAGACACTCAGTGAGAAGATGAAGAAGTGGTTTGTTGAGAAGAAGAAGGTCCAGATGTTTGCAGTGGATCTGACTCTTGATCCTGAAACAGCTCATCCTCTACTCATCCTGTCTGACGATGGGAAACAAGTGAAACTTGGTCATGTCTGGATGAATATCCTAAACAACCCAAAGAAATTTTATAATTGGTTCTGTGTTTTAACAAAGCAGAGTTTCTCTTCAGGCAGATTCTACTTTGAGGTTCAGGTTGAAGGAAAGACTCAGTGGTATTTAGGAGTGAACAGAGAGTCAGTCAACAGGAAGGGAATTATCACACTGAGTCCTCAGGATGGTTACTGGATCATATGTTTGATAAATGGAAATGAATACAAAGCTTTTGATGATCCTCCAGTTGTTCTCTCTGTGAAGTCTGGTCCTCAGAAGGTGGGGGTGTTTGTGGACTATGAGGAGGGTGTGGTCTCCTTTTATGACGTAGAAGCTGCAGCTCTCATCTACTCCTTCACTGGCTGCTCCTTCACTGAGAAGCTCTTCCCGTTCTTCAGTCCTGGTGATAATGATGATGGTATAAACTCTGCTCCTCTGATCATCTCTCCTGTCGGAGTAAATTAATCATTCTCTGATTTCATGTGATGATTTTATTCATTTAAGGGAATAAATGTACATATTTTATATAAATACTGTATGTTTTTCTCTTTATTTCTGTATCATGACCCTTATGGAGAATATCTATTTCAACCTTTTTAATCCAGACTGTTTTATTTTCACTAAATATCCAAAGCTGAAGTTTGACTTTGAGTAAATCAGCAAAATAAATTATATCTGATGTGAAGCCTCTGAAAACATATTGTTGAATATTTAATATTCTCATAAACGCCTCTGACCTTTCCATCATGTTCACAGAATACACTTTGTGTTGTTGTTATTGTGCATGAAAGTGAATTAATAATATAGATGCAAATGTTCGTTTAGTGAGAAAAGTGGTTTGAATTATTATTTTCAATTATTGAATGACGGGTTTACACAAGTTATATTTATATTCATGTTAATTAAAAACGTCTTGTTTAATGCAGGAAACATGTCCGAGTTCTCTGTTTATTGATCACGTGACAATTGGTCAGTGTGAACGACACGAGTTCCACAGAAAGATGAATTCTAACGTGAGTTAGTACACGAGGTTGATGAAACTGTTCAGTGGCTTCAGATACTGAGGAGAATCCACTCGACTGAGAACCAGCAGCAGAATAATAACCAAATACAACTGTAATTATACACAAACGTTGATCCACAGTTTTCCTGCTGTAGTAACAAAGTATTTATTTGGTGCCGGAGAGCAAAACCATGAACTTAAATGATGTAACAAGAGTTTAGCAGCTGAGCTGTAGTTGTTGGAGCTGCACAGGCGGTTATTCATGAAGCAGCTTCATGAGTTTATGACGTCATACCTGTTTGTCTCCTTGATGACACGTGCACAGCGACTGGACCACGTGGAGGAGGCGTGACCTCCTTTAGATACAAAATCACCTCACGAGACAACTTCCAGATGAGGAAGAGGTATATATATATATATATATATATATATATATATATATATATATATATATAAAACGTTATATATTACGTTTTCCCTATAAACCTAGTTGTGTGTGTGTTTGATTATATTTATTTATATTATATTTATATAATAAGGTTTTTATATATATATATATATATATATATATATATATATATTATACTGAATATTATATATATTAATTGAATCTTGGATTTAGTTTTTATTTTTCAAGCGAGGAGCGTCTGTTGTTTCCTCTTCCTCCCGCTCGGGCCTTTCCTTTGACCTCGTGTCCTGCTTCCTCCCATTCTCTTCCTCCCTCCACGGAAAGTGGAAAAAGGGGAAAGTGGCGACAGAACGCGTTTCTGTACAAACCAACGAATCAGAACCAAAGACGGAGACGTTTTTGGTGGAGCTTCGTTCCTCGGCTGCAGGCTGGTGAGGTGAGTTTTTGGGGACTTTTACTTTGGTTCTTTTATATTTGTTTCATTACTGCTGAGACAAACGTTCAACACTTCACAGTCTGGGAATGTTCTTCATTTCCTTTAATGTCAACAAAGACCACAAAGACACAAAGATGTGGATGTAGTTAGTCCCACGTATCAGGTACTCTGCTCTCTGTCTGCACATTTACTTTACTATTTATTCAGGATCCCCATTCGTTGTCACGGCAACAACTATTCTACGCAAACAATGATACAGACGTGACATTGAAACATTACTTGAATGAGATAAAATAATAGTGAGTAGCTCGGTTTCCTTACGTCAACTCGCCAGCACGCGATTACATCAAATAAAGCAAAGTTTCTTTACTGTATAACAAAACATTTAAAAACAAATCAACTTATCAAGTTTGACTGATTTCTTCATTAAAATGGGTTTTTTTACACCAACAATTTTGTATTATTATTATTATTATTATTATTATTATTAAAAGACTTGTTGTTTTCAAGAATAAATAAACAGTGTTAAAAGTTATTCCGCAAAGAAGAGCTGTGTGTGTGTGTGTGTGTGTGTGTGTGTGTGTGTGTGTGTGTGTGTGTGTGTGTGTGTGTGTGTGTGTGTAATGAGGCAGGTTGAAGCTCTGACGTCAGGCGACAGGAGACGTCGGAGGCGGACAAACTGGACCTGCAGCTCATTCTTCTCATTCCGCTGGTTGTTTCCCTTCAGATCAACATGGCCGAAACACACAGAGCGACAGCGCAGGGCAGGAAGGTGAGTCTGAGCACACCTGGGCAAACAGGAAGCAGGTGACAGACTTATAAACAGCAAAAACAACAACAGAGAGGATCGATCTGACGGGGCATCGGATTAACTTTTCTGTTTTCAGTATTTGTTTCTTGTGCGACAGAAAACTAGTTTTCTCAAATAACCGGCTGTCCTCTGACTGGTGTAAAGCCAGCCAGAATGAAACCACGCGACTTCCTGTTGGACTTAACAAAATAAAATGACCAATCATCTGAGGCAGCATTTTCAATATCTATATGAAACAGTCAGACAGTTCAGTAGGAAAGTGCTTACTTGGATACTGGTTTTAAACTGTAAGCGCGGGGAAAATCCAGAGGTGTTGCATTAAAGACAACAGTAATGGAAAGTATATTTTCCCAAGTACTGTACTAAAGTACAATTTGGAGGTGCTCGTACTTTGACACGTCTATCTACTTTTTCACTTCAACTTACGGCACTTCGTTTATGTGACAACTTCATTTACATGTTAATAATACAAAATATTAAATATGATGTCTTATTATCAATGAAGATTACTTTATTGATCCCCGTGGGAAAACTACTCATTAGGGAATTAACTTTACTGCATCATAATACGGATCTTAATGTCTAACCTCAAAGTCTAACATGACATGTGAACCCACTCAGCTCCGTTCAGATCAGCTGATTTTACTCTGAAGGTAAAACATGAGGTCATTCTACTTCCTGTTTTATTCAGAATTGACGCAGCACGTGCTAGTCACAGGGTGCGTGACGTCACGCTGTCAACCTTATTGCTTTCGACTTCAAAGTCTTTCAATTAAAATTAATTTCAGTGAATAAAAACTTTTTTCTTTTTTTTCTATGCTCCTTCTTTCTTTTACTAAACTTCTCCCAAATGTGTTTATATAATTTTACTTTATTTGTCTAATAATTATTATTATCTAATAATAATGTCTAATAATTAAGTCATACACATATTAGATCATTCAACTTAAAACACCTGATTTAACGTAAAAATAGGAATAGTTTCAAATAAAAAAAATGATTTCATTGTGGTTCAAAACCTCATATTGATTTTATAATACAAATAAATTGTAATTATGAAATTAAGAGATATTTGGGCATACTTTAACCGTATTGTCCTTTGTGTGTTGTCCTTTAAATTTAAATCTTACCAGATCTGCAATTTACAAAACTATTTATATTATGTTAATATTCATGTTAGCGTAATTTTAAACGTTACTAATTAATGGTACATGTTAAATATTTAAACGTTTATATGTATTCTTTCTTCACCGCGTAGCTTAGTTGTTAGCTTCTCGCTAGCGTTAGCTGTCGTTCTGTCCTCTTACTCTTCTCTTCCTCTTAACCGGGAGGCGCTGTTCTGTTGTTTTCTGCCTGCAGCGCCGCCCCGCCCCCTGCTGGTCGAAATCAGCTATTGCAGCTCGTGCGAAGAAGGAATCGAATAAATATTTAGAGGCGCTGCATTTATTTTTATTTTTTTATATGTGCATCGTACACCCTGGTTAGAACGCTAGATGTTCTTTCCCTGGATGAATCCTAATGATTTTGTTGACCCCCCCGGCCTTTCCACTTCGGCACAAACACCAGCTAATACACGTGTTGTTGCTTTTCCTTTCAGAAGTGGGTCGTTCCACAGAGAAGTGATGAAGATAAACCAAGTGTTCGTCCTCCTGAGAGAAATCTGGTAGCCACTCGTCTCAAAATATTCAAACGCAATTATTTTTCCCTGAACCCGGTATATTGAAAAGTATACAGAACATACTGTGTTAATCTTTTTAAAATTGTATGTAAATGTTGCTAATGATCTCCACTTAATTTTACTTCCATTGTGAAATCACATCTTTGTTAGATCCATGTATTTTCATGCAAATGTGCGTGTGTGTGTGTGTGTTCAGGCGGTTCCTTTCAGAGGTCACATCCCTGGTGGGATGCGTCCAGGTAAGAAGGTGGTCGTGGTTGGTGTTGTCGACTCGTGTCCTGACAGGTAAAATACATCCATGCAACTTTCCCTCACAACTCAATCATCACACAAAGCCAAATGTCAAACTCAGCTTATTGACATAATTGAAGAAGCATCTGAGCGACGCCGATGTCACGTCCGGTTCTCGTCCTTTAGGTTCCACGTGGCCCTGACATGCGGCATTGGATCCGCGGAGCCTCCCCCCGACGTGGCCCTGGAGCTCTGCGTCCGGTTCCGGGACCGGCAGGTCCTGCGCAGGGCCTGCGTGGCCGGCTGCTGGGGGGACGCCGACCGAGCCGCGCCGTTCTTCCCCTTCATCGCCGGCCAGCCGTTCAAGGTACCAACAGCCTCTTCGGCGTCCCAGAGAGGCGCCAGCCGTGTTACAAACGTATTATCGGTTACTTCAGCACGCCTCCACTCCGTGTGATCACCCATTATTATTCCACATAAACTGTTAAAAAAAACTCTTCAATTCAATATTTTGCTCGTATAAAACCAGAAAATCTTTGTGTATTGAACAATAATTGAACTGTATGTTGTCGATGTCCAAGTCTCCATTTTTTGATCTCATTAACATTTTGTTCTCCCAACACGTTAACATCTGAATCCCACAGCTTGATGCTGTGATGTGACGCTTTAGTTTACCTGAGGGGAAGACGTCTGACGAGTCCTCTCGGGTGTCACGTTAAATGTCAAATGGGTCTCTCCTCTTCTCCCAGATTGAGATTCACTGTGAACAAAGTCGGTTCCGTGTGTTCGTGGACGGGCAGAAGCTGTTCGACTTCCACCACCGGCTGACGTCGCTCGGCGACATCGACACGCTGTGGATCAAAGGCGGCGTCTCCGTCACCAAACTGGCCTGAGGGGAGGGACATGAAGACATGGAAACACAAACCTCCGGGACCCACTCGGGGATTCACTCAGGACTTTGTGGTTCAAGATGGAAAGAAATGAGTTTGAAGGATACATTTGTGTGTCTATGATCTACTTCAGGAAAGTTTTATTGGAACTGTTATTTATATGTGGAAACATTTAGCAAAATCCCCAAAAGGTTCACAGAACATTTATGTAATGTATTTTTTAGAATGTTAATGCCCTTCATTGTATAATTGTTGTCATTAGTGGAACATATGGTCGGCCAATAGGACACAACTGCTGCAACTGTAAATATCCTCTCACTGCATCCATTGAGCTTACATGAAGGCAGCTGAGAACCAGGAGGAATTATCTTTATATTTTGTAATATTTCTAGTTTTTTAAAGTCGCATTTGTTTGACAGCCTCCGTGATCTGATGACTACCTCAAACCACACAGCGTGATGTCCGTATTAAAAGTACATGAACATCTATATGAGAAATAAATCATTATTTCGATATCCAGTGTGTCCCAAAGGGTGTACTTTTTGCAAAATAAACTACATTGTTGTCATTCAAAATGATCCAGATAGAGTGGTCTAATGTGTTTGATTAGTACCAGCAATCATTGTTGCTTTCTGTTCGTTTTTGTGAAATACAATGTAAAATATTAAAAAAGAAAAGGCCCAAAAAGAAGGTTGTAGTTCAGGAAAAGGAGAAGAATGTCAGCAATTGGAAATTTGACGTGAGCATTTTGATTATTAAGCAGAGAGGGGAGCTTGGAATTTAGTCCGAAAAGTTAATAAAGCTGTCAGACAGATGTAGTGGGTTCATATAACTCTTGGTTGTAATAGAAGTTCCCGGTTACATACAATGTAATATGATAAATACATGCACTTAGCGACGTACCTGTTAAACACGGACAGTTTAGACTCTAAAGTTTAGACTCTAAACCGCGCTGCTCGGTTCCTCTAAACTTTAGAGGAACCGAGCAGCGCGGCGGGGAGCCCACCTGTCACCGCGGTGCATGCTGGGGGACATTGAGGCAGGCTAGCAGCAGCCGGCTGACTCAACCTTCAGTTTTCACTCTCAGCGCTCCGCCGCCGTCCAAACGGATCAATCCGACCGCGCGGGGACGGGGCTCTCTTTGACTGAGACATGGACACCAGCGGACAGCATCTCGCGGTGAGCTCACCGGCTTCCTTTGGGGATCCGGGACACCTGCTGCCAAAACCCCCGGGACGGATGATGGGGATCGGCTAAAGCTAAAGCTAGCCGGACGTTCAGGAGAAGATGCCTGTTGTTGTCGTTGGCGTTAGCTGTTAGCCGTTAGCCGTTAGCTCGGTGCGTAGTTAGCCCGAAGTGGTGGACTTGGCTTTGCTCGTAACTTATGTGACGCTGTGGCCTTTGCGGGCCTTTACACACCTGCGGCGGCCGTTTAGTAACAGAAATACACACCACGCGTCGACGTGTCATTGCACCAATTGGACGTTAACTGGTAACAACGCTCATCAAGTAGCTTGGCTTTCCCCCACAGGCTAACCAAGCTAAGCTAAGCTACCTGTCGTTACACCCTCTCAGCGAAGTGTCTCGGCCTCACAGTTCAACTACGTTCCGTCTAGTCAAAGCGAACGTAGCTGTTCGCGTCCTGTCAAACGAATCCGGGTCGGGGCGTTTTTTCAGATCTGGCCTCTTAACTTCACTGTGCCAAAAGTGGCATCAGAGAGTCCGTTAGCCGGCTAAGCTAGGTGCTACTGAATTAGCTCCGTTAGCCTCGTAGCTTCTCCAAAACGTCAAACAAGTGAGGAAATGTGTGAAGCTCTGCTAATCAAGAGGTGTGTGTGTGTGTAGGTCATGAGGTGAAGATCTGTGATGAGACGCTAACCTTGTCTCGAAGGTGACAACTCGTCTTAATGGAGAAGTTAACGCGTTGCGCTTTCTAATACATTTACTTCTACTTAAAGCTGCAGCTGTTTTGTTGTACTTTAACATCTCCTTTGGTACGTTTGTGAGTTCTCCAATGCAGTCTTACGTCATTTTGTCTTAACCTCGTTTAGCACATACGGGGGTGAAGCTGTGAAGGTGCAGGATGTGGGATTACCGGTGAAATACAAGAAGCTCCAACTAGTGAAGGAGGAACCCTGCAGGGCAAAGCACCGTCTGCTGTTTTGAAGTGTCCCTTTTGTCGGTGGACTGGTCTTTCTGGCCCTGCGTGTCTGCAGCCGCCTGGGTGTAAACACACAGGTATTCGGTGAGATAAGGCCAAAGGAAGTACACGTTGCTGTCGCCGCCCTCTGTTCTCTGTGAGAGTTTCCTCATTTTCCCTTTTTTCAGTCGCTCCCTCGCGTGATTTCATGCCTGAAAGTTTTTGATCACATCGGGTTGTGATTTCCTAATAACTTCTTACGCAGATTCCTGAAACAACGAAGGATTTTAACGAGCCTTTCATCGTTTCCAGTCACTGATTCCAAAAGACTAGATCATGTTGTTGGTTGAACAAATACTGCGACGCTGTAGCGGTTTTGGAAGACTTGCTTTTTTTTTTTGTCTCCACAATGTGGTTTAAAACGCTGGGTTGTTTTTGTGATTCTAGTGATATAAACGGAGATAAGGCTTTTAGGAGACCGTTTAGTACACGATGATCGCGTCCTGATCCGGAGCTGTGTTGGCTGCTTCATGTTGTCACTGTTTGTTTAGTGTCTCCTTTATGCACCTCCGATTGTCGTTACCACTTTATTACCCTCAATCAGCCTTCGTAGTGGCTCAGTAATTCCGCCGTGGCTTCGGCCTGAATCGCCCGTCGGCCTCGTCGCCCTCGGAGCGCCGGGCCGGCAGGGAAGCCGTCGATATTTCCGATTTTTGTTTCTGACGATGTCTCGTCTCGCCGTCCTCAGGTGTAGCCAGGCGGATCCGTCAGAGAACCATGGAGCCGGATGTGATCCGCATGTACTCGTCCTCCCCGCCCCCGATGGAGGACGGCGCGGACGAGGACGACAACGAGTTCGGGGACTTCGGCACCTTCTCCAGCGTCCCAAACAGCGTCAGCTTCACCGAATTCGACACCCCGACCACTTTCAACCAGTCCCGAGCTCTCGGCGCCACTTCCCCGCCCGAAGTCCTCCACAGCAGAGGAGAGACGAGATTCAGTCACGCTTCCTCCAACGGCACAGCGACGACTGTTCCAGACTAATGGCGTTGTGCGGCAGATCGCCTGAGCAGCGCCCCCCCAGACAGAAATGCCATGAAAAAGGTCGGGTCGCCGGCGTGCGTCACCGCCGGCGGCTCGGAGGTGCTAACTAACGGGTTTGCGACCTTCGATGTTCAGGGCAGCCCCCCCTCGCATAATTCTGTCCCCTCCCACGTAAAAGGAATGTCCACCGAGGACACGGGCGTCACCCCCGAGGACGACTTTGCTGACTTTGCTGCTTTTTCCAACGCAGCGGGACACCTCAGCCCGGCGGGCGGCGAGCACTACGACACAGAGCGGCAGGGAGCGACGTCAGAGGACAATGTCAGGGACAATGTCTCACAAACGGACAATGTCAAAGACGATGTCAGAAACGCACACAGAACTGGAGTCAACTCCTCCGGCCGTGACTCCTTATCTGATCACGCTGAGGCCCCCGGCGGCTCGTGCAACACGGACCGGGGCCCCGAGGACGCGGACCGGGGCCATGAGGACGCGGACTGGGGCCCTGAGGACGCCAGCCTGGGCCTTGAGGATGCGGACCGGGGCCCTGAGAACGTGGACCGGAACCATGAGGATGCGGACCGGGGCCCCCAGGACGCGGACCGGAACCATGAGGACGCAAGCCGGGGTCCTGAGGACGCGGACCGGGTTCCTCCCGCGGATGCCGGGTCTCCACCAGGGGACGCCTCGGAGGCGGTTTGCACTCACAGACCCCGCTCTCTGGACGTTGTCGACGGGGACGACCCCAAAGACCCAGCGGGCCGCAGCGAGGGCGACCTCTCGCCGGACTGCGAGGCGGGAGAGTCGGACGGGAAGTGCTCTGGCAACGAGACGGAGACAGAAACGGAGACGTCGCTGGGCCGGCCGCTGTCGACGGACGCTCTGGAGGAGTTTGGCGACATGAGCACCACGGGCTCGGTTCCGTCTCCGCCCCTCCAAGGCGAGACCCCCACGCCGGCTGACCACAGCCAGCTGGCGGAGGACGAGGACGACTTTGGGGACTTCGGGGACTCCGGTCAGGGCTTCGAGCAGCCTTTGGACTTGGACCGGCCGGATGTGCGGAGTGGGTCGAACAGCCCCGCCGCTGCTCAGGAAACAAACGACGAAGACGACTTCGGCGACTTCAACTCGCCCAGATTTCACGCCGGCGAGGAGGACGCAGAGGACGGAGGCCAGTTCGCCGACTTCCCCGTCAGCGACAGTTTCGGGAATTTCAACTCGGTGGCCGACGGCGCAGACGGGGAGGCGGCCGCAGGGTGGAGCGCCTTCGGGGAGCAGCAGCACCCACAGGTGGAGGAGGAGGAGGAGTCCTGGGCTGCGTTCAGCGAGGACCAGAGCGTCGCTCCTCCTGCCGAGAGGAGAGCAGAGGAGGAGGAGGAGGAGGATGAGGAGGAAGATGAGGAGTGGCATGAGAGTGAACTTCCAGCAGTCAGCGAGGAAACGGACCGACAGTCGGTAAGAAGTGTGGAAATAAACTGGCCCGACTTTTAAAGTTGAACATCGAGGCGAAAACAATTAAGTTTCTTGTTCTCAAAACATTGAAAATTAAAAATCTGTACTTTTTATGCCCCATTAACAGTTGAATAATAATATTTATTTCATTTTTTTGACTTCTTTATACGACATTAATATGCAATAAGTTCTGCTTCCTGCAAAACGAGGACGTTTTAAATCATATTCTTTGTTCATATTCAGTCATATTTCAACAGTTGCGCTGAGACCCCCGTCTCCCCGTGGGGGGGTTTCCCAGTAGAACCCGTGTAGCAGGGAGGTGGGCTGCAGGTGTCCGTCTGATCCAACTCCTCATCTCCCCGTTTTGGGAGAGGAAAGTGCACCGGGACCCTTTTCTCTTGATCCAGTTTTCCCCTCATAGACGTAGTGGACTCGAGGCGTCTTCTGTTTTACCCCTGACGCCGCCGCAGCAGACGAGGCTTTTTAAAAGTGGTTGCCAGGCAACCAGACATCATCTTTCTGCTGCCGAAACTGAAAGCACTGATAACCTTTTGAACTGCCTTTTTAAATTAGTTACGACGTGCAGTTGTTTTTATGTATAAAAAGTAAGAATTTGTTGCCAATTATTTCAAGATGGTTGTCAACGGCAACGGATGTTGTAAAGCTGTCTGCTTTAACAACTGTTTTACTCTCAGTAAATATTACAAACGAGTGCGTTTGTCCCGGCGAACATCTGTCCAGCATCGCCGCTGTCCTGTTCCTTTTTTACTTTATGTTTAACGAGCGTAAAGACGTCTGTTCCGCGGCTGCAGGCGACGCTGTCGAGCCGCCTGGAGAAGCTGTTTCAGGGCAGCTTCCCTCGGACCGCCGCGCCGCCTGTGGACGACGAGGTGGCGTCCCTCAGGATCCTGCTGGAGCCGCCGGAGGACAAACCTCAGCCGGGGGCCGAGGAGGAGGAGGAGGCGGAGGAGGAGGCGGCGTTGCCAGGCAACCGGTGAGTTTCTGTACCGGGAGGCCCTCTGAAGCAACAGGCAGGAAAACATAAACTGACTCCACTCGATGTCCAGAGAAGAGAATTTCAAAATAAGTTTCTGAATCTCTTTTCCTTGAACGTGTGCTGCGTCGCTCAGGTCTGCGCGGGGCGGCGTGTGGATGCAGCTTCAGGACGTCCACGAGGCTCTCGGCCTCAGATACCAGTGGGGGGGCTCCTACTGCAACAAAGCGCTGCTCTGCTGCCTCGGCATCGACACCCGCAACATCGTGAGCGTCCCGCCGGAGACATTCGTCACACCGCTTTTGTGTGTTTATATGTTTGTAACCTGCCGCTTTAACGTGTGCAGCTGTTCACGGGGCAGAAGAAGCAGCCGGTCATCGTGCCCATGTACGCCGCCAGCCTGGTGAGTCGCCCGCGCCCCCGCCGCTTCACACGCGGTTGTTGTTGTTGTTGTTGTGGAGACGTGCACGTTTCTTATTCTTTGTCTTCTTTCTGTTCAGGGGATGCTGGAACCAACCAAAGAGCCTGTGAAGCCCGTCTCTGCAGCGGAGATGATCGCCTCTATAGCCCAGGCGCCTCCAGTGGCTCCGGAGACCAGCTCCTGTCTCTCGGACGCAGTCCAGGTGAGGGAGGCCCCCCCCCTCCCCCCACCCGTACACACACAGCGCCCACTGAAGACCCTCAGAATGAACTGACTGTGTGACGTGTGACTCCCCCCAGCAGGAGGCGCTCCCCCCCGTCCAGTTCGACTGGAGCAGCAGTGGCCTTACCAACCCTCTGGACGGTAGGTGGCCTCTGAACCCCGACCCCCCCCCCCCCCATCCTCCTCACGCCACGTCCGCTGTCCTCTTAATATCCTCCCACTTTGCTAACCGCTCGGCTTCGTTTCCTTTAAGTCCGTAGACTCGTCGTTGTTGTTGTTGTTTTTCACACATCATGAAAATGTCGGATTCTAGATCATTTTTTTAGATGCTTAAAAAAGCAACAACAACTTCCTTTAAAGTAAAAATCCACAGTAAACGATGTCAGTGAAACCAAAATAACGGAAGATAAGATTCGTCTGAAGAACCGAAGCTCCTAAAATGTGACGCAGCAAAAAAAAAAAACATCAAAGCAAACACTGAATCTGTGGCTCTTCCCTTTAAAGCGCGTCATGAGAACAACAACACGCCATCAAACCCGGCTAACATTTAGGGGACGCTGATCACTGACCCTGCCGCATGTTTTCTGGTTTCCTCTCTCTCTCTCTGTCTGTCGCTCGCCCTCCGTGTCCCCGTGTTCTTTAACCGCGGCGAGCAGCGAGCGGAGGCTCGTCTCTGTTAAACCTGGATTTCTTTGGTCCTGTGGAGGATTCAGGCTCCAGCAGCTCGCCCTCCATCCCAGGTCAGCCTCCTCGGGCTCAGCGCTCTCCTCCCGGCTCCTCCCCCTTTGTGGGAGGAGTCGCACGGGTCGGGAGTCGTGCTCACAACTTTGGAATTTGAGTTTATTGACGAGCAGGTTTTTACATGCAAGGAATTTGCCTCAGAGTTTCAGGCGGTTACAATGAATGTCGTAAGAATTAGAAATAGCGAGAAATAGAAATAGTTACAGTGAAAAAGGTACAGTTTCATAGAAGCTACTCAAAGAGCACTTTACATGGTGAAAAAAGAGAGATGAGACAACTAAAAATCCTTCAAAATAAGAGCCTTTGGTTTGCTGCACTCCGGAGTTCTTCAGTTCTGACGTCTTTCCTCGTCTCCTCGTCTCAGGAGTCGACCCGGAGCTCTACGAGCTGACCACGGCCAAGCTGGACTCGGGCGGCTCGGGCAGCCGCGTGGCGGACGCCTTCGCCCGCCTCATGTCCACCATGGAGAAGACCAGCACCTCCACCAGGTCAGAGGTCAAAGCGGGGGAAGAAATGAGTGTCGTAACCTGAACAGATATCGGATGATATTAGTTTAAGTCCTTAAGTTGTTTTCTACTTCCTGTTTGACAGGAAGCCGAGGAAAGAGGAGAACCTGAGCGAGGAGGCGGCCAAAGTGATCGGCCGTCTGCCCGACCTCTCCTTCATGCAGGCCAAGGTGCTGATGTTCCCCGCCACGCTGACGCCACTCAGCTGCCAGGCCGCTGCAGACTGAAGCCCTGCCCCCAAACCTGCCCCCAAACCCGCCCCCTCTGCCCGCTGGCTCCTCCCGCCGACGGGCTCCATCTTAAGTTTTACTTCACCTTCTTTGTTTTTCTTCTCATGCTGCATTTTAGTTCCCTCCCCCCTTCATAATTTTTTATTTTGTTTTATTTATTTGCTCTTTTGCTTATAAACTTTTTTTTTTTTCTTATATATAAAGCGAAGCACCTATGATCACAGGAAACAGCGCAGAGAGCTGAGCCGACGACCTGCACACCTAACGGGAAAAAGGAGATTAATTAATTTATAGAGTGGATAATTTATAGTGGGAGGTGTAGAGGCGTGTGCCGCTCGTATCTAGAAGAATCATCGTGTACATAATCAGGGATTAAATGTTTATATTCCTTTATTTTTGTTCTGTTTTTAATTCCGAATGATTCTTCGGATGTTTTTTGCGTCTCTGTGGTGTGTGAAGGAAACACTAGCTGAAGCTCTTTGAATCGAAATGAAGTGGAATATATGTAAGCTTAAATGAATACATTTATAAACATCTATGAAATCTCTCCTCTATATAAATATATATTTATGGACTTGAAACCACACTGCCTGCAAAATCCAGCTGAATGTTTCTGTCCCCTCGTCGTTTGAAGGCCTCAGTTTTCCCCTTCGGTTTTACTCCTTTCTTTAACCGCTCTTTTTTTTAAACGTAACTTAAGCCCCGCCCCCCCCCCCCTCACTGCCGCCGTCTCCGGGATGCCGGATGTCTTTGTTTTTGTTTGTCTCCCTCGTTTGTGTGTCCTTTTCTTTTTGAGGTGTGAAAACAATAAGGGTTTGTTTGTTGTTGTTTTTTTGGTTAAAACCACTGAGACTTAAACGTTTCTGCAGTGAAGGAATCAAGGGACCAATGTCTGCTTCACGTGACGGGTTGTGAGCGCCGTTCCTCATATGAAGGGCTTTCTGTCGTTGCCGCTCCTATTTGCTTTGGTTTGTTTTCCCGCTCTTACTGCTGTCGGCCCGTCTCCCAGGAGGATTTTGCACATTGTAAAGATGAAATGGATGTAATCATAGTTCACTGTGGCTTTAGACTGTACAGTGAAAACTATGGACTGTAAAATGTACGGGAAAGTTCCTATGGAAAAAAACTGAATCACTTGAAGAGCCTGTCAAAAGGTTATCGTGCATGCCCGGGTTCTTTTGAGACTAAGTGTGTAAATTTTACTTTTAGTGTACACAAGAAATTAAAATAGATATCTTCTCTGCTTGTTTCTGTTTCTTTTGCGTCGTTGGAACGTTTCCATCACCTGAATAAATCAAAGTGTTTAAGGAAACTTTGGCAGCAACAGAGTGGCCCCGAAAACCTTTTAAAAGAAATGTGCACTTTTAGAAAAACTGCCACCTTTTCATTTTCTGTATTATCTAAATATTACAATTTTGTTTTTATTACACGCTTCACAATGTATTTTCCCAAATATAAAAATTCAAAGGTCATATAATGGCTATTTTCATATTACATTTGATAAGATTTCATGAAAAAGTATGAGGCAAAACGTGATTAACTTAAATTCTAAAGACAAAGCTAACAAAGGACGGACAAGAAGACAAAGATCAGAATCCTCATTTAATGTAGAAAATAAAATTACTAAAGTGGAACCTCATTACACATTCATAGATCATTCTGAGAAGGAAAATGTCATATTGCATAGGACAAGGCACAGAGTCATGTGACGTCTAACTCCTCCCCTTCTGTTAATGTCCCGTCAAAAACATAAAAAGATCCTTTAGCCACAGAAGTGCTTCAAACTGACAGAAATTATAACATTTGGTTTGATGAGAAACCACCAACCTTTCATTCTCTAGATGGACGCAAAGAAAACCAAATCTGAAAAAACACCCAGGAACCAGTTTTTAAAAATGAAAACAATTTAGTTTGAGTGTAATTGTATTATTTTACAGTAAAAAGAGGTATTTATGATGCTCATGATACAAACAGTAATAAACCTTTTATCCATCTGCATTTCTCTTGAACAAACAAGTCACCGTGTTTATTACATTGTGATTCACAGCAAGTTTTGAGTCTCACGGTTGAATAAAAATAGTTTAAACATTTTGTAAATAGTGGCGTGAAACTGCTCCAGGAAGATCCTAAAAAACAAGAATTAAATCCTAAAGACATTTGTGAAGTTTAATTGATGAAAAGAAACTATGAATACTTGTATAACAGATGTAGAATAAAACAATATGTATAAAAACAACCTTACTGGTTACATTCCAGGTCTTACTGGCGAGAACCTGCTGTTACATCATCTGTCCAGCAGGTGGAGACACAGAGGTGGTTCTAAAAAGATGCACATCTGGATTCAGCTTTAATACTCATGTATCAGGACATGATCGATCTGGGGATCCATTTACGAGGATTACGACATCCGCACACAGGCAGCAAACAAACAAACAAACAAACAAACAAACAGGCATTTGGAAGTTCAGAAAGAAAATCAAACAAATAGGCCCAGTGTTTATTCACATATAACTCACACACACACACTCACACACACAGACACACACACACACTCACACTCTGGATCGGTATGGGTTGAATTGAGGCCGTTTGCATTGCTGAAATCCTAAAATATATTACATTGTATTACATTTTTTTAAACCAAATCATTTATTAAATGATGGTACATTTCATGGGAGATTCTCCACCAAAACTCCTTCTTGAGTCCATTGAGAAGTCGGCTTTAGTTTGGATTTATCCTTTTAAAGAATACATATCGATGTTCCGTACAAACTAAATATTAGTGTCAAGAGTTACAATAAATACTCAAACAGCCGAGAGATAATAAATAGATCACAGACTGTGTGTTCCAGGGCCACGTGAAGCTTAACGCGTTTATCTTAGTAGGAGCTGCTGCATTGGTTGAGTCAACTGTGAGAAACCACATCACACTGAAGATAAATGAAAGGAAATTTATCACTTTCTGCATTCAGAGGCAACTTAAGAGTGTTTTAAAGTTTCCTTAATTAATTTGAATTCTTTTTTTAGATCTTTGTCTGAATGTCTAAAGCTTGTTATCTAAAGTTATTACTACGTTTGTTTTAATATTCATAGGCAGATTGTTAACCTGCTAATTTAACTCAACCAATGAGATTTTCTCCTCTTCGTGCTTCTGAAGCTACAAATTGTTTCTCATCTTTTCAAATCCGAGAAAAGAAAGAAGCAAACTTTACGTGTGTGTTGCTTTTTAAAAAGACTTTCACATTCTTTGTTGACAACAGATAAAATCTGTTTTGCAGGCAGGATGAGACGGGTCAAATCAAAACGGTTAAATGAAGAACTGGAGGTTATTAAACTGGACGAGTAACAGCGTGACGTGATCGAGGTTTTTAAAAAAAGGCACAGGATCGGTTTCTTCTCATGAATGCTGATGAGACGTTTTCATTCTTAAAAACATGCGACTTTTCCTTTCTTACAATTTCTCGGACAGCGGTGGAAAAAAAGGACGCCGCTTCACGTCAGAGGTCACCAGAGGTCACCGGGGCTTCGAACACGTTCACTCAGTGGTGTGAATCTCGGATCCTCCAGATGAAACCAGAGTGAAGCACGGCGCCACTTTTCAAACTGTACAAAAATGAATAAAAGTCATAAAAAGTCTCAAAGTTCCTCTCAGCTGCCCACCAGCACCTCCATGATGTGGTCCAGCTCGGCCAGGTCCATTTTAAAAGGCGGGTTCTGGGCGCCGCCCCCCGCCGCTCCGTACCCCGACATCGACCGCACCAGGTCGTCTGCCATCACGGCGGGCGCCATCTTGGACGGCGGCGTTCCTAGCGGAGGGGGACAGGGGCCGAGGTCGTACATGGACGTGTCATGTCGGTGAAGAGGACGTCGTTCAGAGCGAGTCCGTCAGGAGGAGCCCGGGGAGGGAGGAGAGGAGGAGGAGGAGGAAGTTTCTCAAGCTGCTCTCAACCTCCCTGGAAGCCCCGCCCTCCCCTTCACGACAACATCAAACTGGCCAAGAGGTGGAGACGGGCGGGCCCGAGGATGAGGAGGAGGAGGAGGAAGAGGGGGGGCAGAGCTCCTCGATCTCCTCCAGGGCCGAGGAGAAGCTGTCCTTGGGCGACGGCGAGGGCCTCTGGGAGTGGTTGGGGTGGTGCTGGGTGGAGGAGGGGGAGGGCGGCGGCGGCAGGGTGAAGAACATGGGCAGGTCCTCCTCCAGCAGCGAGGCGGGAGTCAGGCAGGAGTCCAGCGCCGCCAGTCCCGTGAGCGGCGACGAGAGGATGCTGAAAGAGGCGGGAGGAGGCGGAGCCTGCCGGTAGCCCTCGTCCTCGCAGACGGCGGCAACGGACCCGCCGGCTGGCGGCGCGGCCGAGAAGAAGAGGGCGCCGACGCCCCCCTCCTGCCTGAAGTCGTCGTGGATGCGGCGCACGACGTTGTTGATGAGGACCCGGCGCCGCAGGCCGAGGCCGCCGCCCGTCCGGGGGCCGTACAGCTTCACGAGGGACACGTTTAGGACGGTCTGCCGCTGCAGCGTGAAGGACGCGTGAGACATGGCGCCGGGCGCCGCGGGACGCCGTTCTTCCTCCAGGACGTCGTCATCCTCGTCCAGTTTGCGCTTCACCCCGATGCCCAACATGGATCTGAGGGGAGAGGAGAGGCGTCACGGAACTAAACCAACGTCCACTCACTGACAGAGACGGCGCTCCGGGGGACGAGCGGACCAGGTCCCGCCGGAGAGCGAGCGAGGAAGGATTAGGGAGAACTCCTTCAGCACGCGATCTGCGGTTTCGGGCGTTTCCGCATTCGGTCGCTTTTACGAAAAATCTGAAATCTGAGCCTCAGCAGATGTAAACGTTTTGGTGGAATGTTCTACAGAAGGATGGAGATCAACTGGAGATCAAGCAGGTAAAAGTCCTTCATTTAAGTTAAACTATGAGGTAAAAGTACTCAGACTAAAATACTCAACAACAACAAAAGAAGAGTAAGAGAGAAAAGTACCTCTTGTACTAGGTAGTAGAGTGGGGGGTGGGGGGGGGGGCTTATAGACATTTGAAGTGAAACACGTGTGTGCTGCTGAGAAATACTGAAGACACGCAAAGTTGTGACCCTGGAAGTTCCTGGAAGAGGAGTCATAAAAAGTGTGTGTGTGTGTGTGTGTGTGTGTGTGTGTGTGTGTGTGTGTGTGTGTGTGTGTGTGTGTGTGTGTGTAGACAGACAGCTGACTCGCTCCCATGTGAGCCGTAGTCAGCTGATCAGGGGCCGACACTCTTCTGACCTCCTGAGACAAAACAAAACACAGGGAAACGGGGGAGTTGCGTTCTGGAGGACACACACACACACACACACACACACAGGTCTGAAGATCCCCTCGCTGCTGTTGTGTAAATGTCGAGGTCACGACTCTTCGTCCCGCCAACAACCAAACTCCTAAACAACTGCAGCTTTTCAAAATCGACAGACACGTCGGTCTTCTGCACCTCGCGTCCAAACCGCCGAGCAGAATGAGGACAATGACATTATCGCGCTGATGGCGGCAGCTGCTGTGCTGGAGACGTGCGGTAGTGGGGATTTGAACCCGTGACCTCGATCACTCGGCCAACAGGCGTCAGAAAGCGCTGACAGAGACTGAATTAAACAGCGCACGCGCACACGCACAAACGCACACACACACACACACGCCTCCTTCTTACATGTGATTATTCATCAGCTCTCCCTCCTCCTCCTCCTCAGTACTTTAAACCCGTGCGGGGCCCCTCAGAGGGGCCATCTGCTCCGACACCCCGAGAGGACGAGGAGAGGAGGTGACTGGGCGAGAGACACAGGAACAGACAGAGGGAGAGAGAGAGAGAGAGACATGCTTCCTCCCCCACGTCTGATACTTGACTTCTGAATTTAAAGACTCAAGTGAACACACTCCGGTTGAGAATCCTCACCAATCAAAGCGGTTGTGACTGACTTCGGATCAGCTGGCTGAGGTTCAAATATGTCGCCCCCCCCCTCCCCTCCCTCCCTCCCTCCCTCTTTCCTCCCCCTTCGCCAGCTGTCTGTGTGATGAGGTAGAAATCCCAAAATAGTTTCAGAAACGCTGCAGTTGTGGGAAATGAACGACCAAAGTCTTTGTGTAGGAGATCTGACAGGCCTGTGTGTGTGTGTCTGTGTGTGTCTGTGTGTGCGCGTGCAGCATACCTTTCCATTGAGTAAACCATTAAATGTGGTGTTGTGTTACGGCCGCTGTGCTCTCGGGAGGACGGACTGAAGCCTCAG